CTTTTATACATTATAATCATTCATTATTACCCAGTCGGAAATAAAAACAGAAGTCGCGTTTAAAAAAAGGGATGGTGCAGCTGCTAAATTCACAAAAATAATGGTTTTTGACTGTTTTTAGTGCTAAAATTGTTCTCAGCTAAATAAAAAATGTTAAAGTAGTGCCGAAAAATAGAAATTATGGGTTTAGACCTTTATTTTCTATAAATTTACCGGTGGCTTTTTCACCCTGGCAACTCAGTCAGCTTTTAAACAATTTTTACCCGACTTCCTTTTTTGTTTCAAAGTGTATAAAAATTTCTATGGAGTTAGGCCGGGACCACTTCTCCCTACTACTAAGAGTGTCGATATTTTGTATTGGAGTAGTTCCTTCTTCCTTCTAGTTTTACTTTCTTTTAAATAGTTTAATACTGCTGTGCCAAGTATTCCATCTTGAAAATGGTCTATCAAGCATGGTTGTGTTCAGGAGTAAGCAGAGTAATAAATTCTGGCAAAAACTCTGATTGAGAGAGAATGTCATTAGAATTTCAAATTCAAGGTATGGAATAGAAACACAGTGTGTTGAGGCAGCCCTATATCTGGCTCTTCGTTTTAGAGTTAGAGAAATGTTTTAAAAGCTAGGCCTATAGATTGGGTGAGGAGATACTAATGAATAATAATTTGAGCCTGCCTAAAACCAAGGACTAAAAGATTCAAATATGACCTGGAATTTCAATACACATCAATACAATATCGATTGTCAAAATAGTCTGGGAAAGGTGCAAGGCTGCCACTACCAAGCAGCTTTCAAGCAATTTCAAAACATTAGAAACATTATCTACTAAAGCATGTTTTCGTAGTCATTCTTTCGTTTTGGAATTTATGATTTTACATTAAATTAAAGTGACATTTCTTTAGAAGTTCACTCCTATACTCCGTCCTGCTCTTGTCGGATTCATCTTTTTATATTTATATATATATATGTATAAACTTATCGTTTCAGATAGTCAGCCTACATCATGAGTTGAAGGACCACTGTTGAAAGGGACGAATGGGGACAATGCAGCAAAGGGCAGATTGTAACAAGATTAGTTAACCAGCCATGAATAGCAATGGAATGCATCGACTAGCCCATCACTGTTCATCCTATGTGAAGTGTTTGAGAGCCCTTTGTAGACTTGACAGTCAACTGAGGACAAGTGTGCCATGTGTGGTGAGGTACTTTACCAAGGATGTGGACAATGGCAGAAACACAGTTGTGTCGCCTGCGGTCATTCAGCAGGTATCTGTATATATATGGTTTGCTACTTCTTTCCTATCAAACGTCTCTCTACTTTTATTTATTTATGTTACACTCTATTAATACCTCTGATCTTCAGCACTGCTGCAGAGATGCCAATCCTCCCGATTGTGGCAGGAGACTCCCGAAAAATGAGTGAGTCTCCTGATCTCCTGGCTATTGCCACAATCTCCCAATTTTCCGTAATTTTTCCCAAGTTTTGACTGCAAGCCGTGAGAAGTCACAAAGAAACGACTGTCACAAAAATGGTAATTGAGCCAAAGTTCAGATAACACGTCAAGGGAAGCAACCAAAAGATTCAAATATGTAAAAGCAGTCAACACAGTTGTTTTCCTTTCTTCCCCCAGGCAATTTGAGACCTGGAATTTCAATACACATCAATACAATATCGATTGTCAAAATAGGCTGGGAAAGGTGCAAGGCTGCCACTACCAAGCAGCTTTCATAAGCACCTTCCATTGAAAGTGATGGATTCTTGTAAATAATGTATATATTACTAGTTTGACTCACTTGACTCACCAGCTGATTTAAGATATTAAACATGAACAGTCCTAAGCCTCTATGCATCCATAGTAATATAAAAGTATCAGCAATTATATTTTTATGGAGTGATGATGGATGGGAGCAGCCAAAAATAGGCTGCTATTGTAACCTTTCTCGTGTGTAAAATGTGTGATGTAATGTAAAGGATATATTAGTGACAAAGGAAACCATAGCCAGACTGCGATTAGTGCTGACCTTGCTATATGCACAGCATCTAATCTGTGTGTGGTACACATGTCTAAATTCTTATCAATCTTATTCTTACCAGCGAAAAGAAAGAGGGGTTCCTTTGGAGGCTTTTTTAGTGTACTGATAGACACATTAGTGTTGCTCCATCCTTTCTGATCTACTTTTCTTCAGTCTTCCACTTCCAGACTGATCAGACGTTTGCTGGTGATGAATTTATTGTGAGAAAGTCTCTAAGGCTATAAGACATTAATCCAGAAAGGGACTAGAGGTTTCACATGCTTGCACTTTTAAGAGAATCTCTTTGGATTAATACACAATGTTAGCATCTAATAAAACACTTTCCGTAATAAGAGCAGAGACATGCCCACTCACATGTAAACAGACTTCTTTGCCAAAATGAAAATGTCCGCCAATCAACTCAAAAGTTTCCGTGTCATGTGACCTCGTACGGATTCTAGTTTAAAAAGGAGATAACTCTATGGTCAAGGCCTACTGTCCGTCCCATTGCCCAATGTTCATTCAATAGCATCAGCTACGAAAAAGTTGCAATACGGATTTTAGGCTTTGTGTAGAAAAAGATGTAAGTTGTACATTTGTTTTAGACATGTATCTCTCACTAATCAAATTTTCTTCCGTTTCAGCGTTGTCTCTTTTTTTCTTAATCTTACACTTTCTGAACATCAGTTGTACACTTTTTCATGGGCTGGGGTTGGCAGCTCTGCTTACTTACCGAAACAAACAGAATACTGCAAACTGCGAATAATTTTTTTAGGGTTATATATAGTGTCTTTCCCAAGAACACACTGCAATGATCCCCTACCCAACTAAAAGCCTTGCCACCGACATGACATTTCATTTACTTGACTCACCTGAACTCACCAACCACTCAAGCCACTGGAACACCCCCTGCCCCCCCATTAAGTATAGACCCTTGATAAAAATGTTTGCTGAATGTTTGTTCCCATTTTGTGTAATTATGCAACTTAATTTCAGTTTCTGGTGGACATGAAAATGCGGTTAGAACATGGCTATACCACCATTATCAGTCAATGCCCCAAGATCACAAGGTCAACTCAAGGGTCATCTCATGGCAAACTGTTTATCAACACAACATCTGGTGAGTTTTCTTGACTTGAGTGTATCTAGCATCTGTAATTGTTGCCATATTTTGTCCAAAAGTTGCCAGAATTTGCCACAAAAAATGAAAAATAAAAGTGTCCATTAATTTTCAAGCTTTCAACTCTCTGTGACGACATATAGTAATATGTTGAAAGAGGTAACTTAATGTAAAGCACCAGAATTTTCTTGCGCTTTGTTTTAAGCATCCAGAACATCATTTGTAACCACATAGAGTGTAAAAACGAAAAATAAAGGTTTCAGGACAGAATGACATCGAAATTAGAACAACACTTTAACAACCCCAAAAATTAACAAATAAGGGCGTGTGTCAATCTATCCGAGGACTAGCCGTTTTGACCCTAAACGTGAGTAATTCAAGAAAAGTACAGGATATTGCATGTAAATTATGTAATCACACACAAGGGGCCTGCCAGTTGTTGTTTTTTTTTGGGGGGGGGGGGGTAAGTTTTTACGGCGCTCGCAAGTACATAAGGTCATATGAGCACGGGGGACACATTAAACATTTTCAGTAAGTAGGAAATTTAGATTTTTTCCCCGGTGCTGGGAACTGAGTTTGGGTGAGCCTGGGCTGCATTAAGTATTCCAAATTTAAAAAAAAAGCCTTTTTAAGTATTCTTTTATATCAACGTACAACTTTGAAATCACATTTACAACTTGTCAACAAGCACCACCTGAAGCTGTCACGATCCTCCACTACAGTAGCCCATAAGTCATTAAAAAAAAATAAATAAAAAAAACCCTTAAAATCTAAAGCAACACTTCAGCAAAAAGGTACATACGAGAATAACATTTGGTCTGTACAAGCACTCAACTTTGGTGCCAAGAAGGGGCTGCAAAATATTGCCATGTTGGCCTCCCTTGGCCCACGACGATGGACATTGTTCTTCCTTATTACATTAAATTGCGTGCTTCCTTGCTCCACTAATTTATTGTTTAATTTTTCGCACTTCAATTCTTTACCATGAACATTTGAGACCTGGCTTTCTGATTCAATAAAAGTAAAAAGGGCTTTCCTCTGTGTTTGGCAGAATTGGAGTAATAATTGTTATTTCTATGCAGGCTATTAGAAAGGTTTTTACTACGTAGCCTAATAAGCATATCAGTATCTTACTGTTGTTTCTTTTACTTTTGGTTTGTGGACAAATTTACTATGTGCAGTTCATTGGCAGGTCACTTTGTGTGTGAACACTGCAACAAACAAGGGGCATGGACAGATCTGGTGGACAACTTGCTCTTACTGAAGACACAAAGGAGAAAGTAAGTGAAGTCATTTTTGTTCTAACGACATTAAAATCCTGTTCTGTGTTTGTTAGGGTTGGGTCGGGCTCGCAAAATTAGCGTCCGCGGGTAACGAACTACCCGCTGGCATTACCCGCAAACGAGCGGACGGGTAACGAACGGTCCGTTTGTGAAGAGTAGTTCGCTACTCGCTACACATTGAACAGAGACAACAGTTCGTTTAGCGAGTGAGCGGACGGGCGGACCGAGAGACTCCAAGCATTCGAGCGGGCAGGCGGACGGACGAACGGGAACGACTCCTTACTCCTTCCATTGCCTACAACTTAC